ATTTGGTTGCTCCTAATTTGTCTCAAAATGTAGAGCTACGTCCGGCCTCCGCACAGAATAATTTCTCGAAACGAAGGCAAAATGAAAGGGTAATCTAATATATTTTAACAACTTTTTCCATCTATATTATAAACAACCTTTCCACTTCAATCATATTTTATTAAGTGCAACTCCTTTAATAAAATCTACCATATTAGCAAGATGACACCGTTGAAATAAAACTTTTAATTTCATTTTAATTCCAACTTGGTATCCTAATTTATTTATTCTATCACCAACTTTTGCAAAAAAAAAAAAGGAAAAATGAAGCCATATTCCACTCCATAAGAAGTGAACTTTCCCATCAAAGTGTAGAATAAAGTTGCAGAAGTGGAGATCCAACCGAATGCTGCTTCTATCACTTTAGCTAGTGGGAGAACTGATAAGAAAGTCCAAATAAAGGAATAATTAAATTTTAATATATATAAGAGGAAGAAGAAAAAGCTAAGCCAATAGATTTCATTGCTTTTAATCCAAGCATAATGAGTATGGCACTATAGAATAAAAAGAAAGTGAAAAACAAAAAAGGATCATTTATTATATTATTGAATCATACAAATAGGATTGTAATTTACGGAATAATGAGGTCTTTATTGTTATTTGAAAGAATAATTTTAATTCATTTGTTTTACAAATTCGTAATTTTATCTTCAAATAGTTTACATATGAAAATAAAATTGTTATTTTTAGAAATAAATTTGAAGATTTTATTAAGCTTAAAATTAATGTTAAATTCCAATTAAATCAAATGTTAATACATAAAATTTTAAAAATCTCTCTCTCTATCTCTCTCAGAAGCAAATAATTTTTTATTTTAAATTAATGAAAAAATTTGAATTCATATTCTAATATATTTTAGGTGACGAATTTACATTGAAATTAGTGCTACATATAATAACAAATAGATATACTTATATTAATACAATCAAAGTCTTGAAGCCAGTAGTTTCAATATAGTATTTTTCTCCATAAAATTGGGTAAATACTATATTATATATTATTCTTTTAATATTTTAAAGCCAAAAATCATCTGGAAATGCAATTTTGTCCAATTAATCCAATGGCACGCACATAACATACGCGTGTGAAGTAAACACACACGAATATTTGGATCTACCTTTGCCTTTCACGCGTGTGCGAAAAACGCATTAATTTGTTTATTTAAAAAGTGCGAACCTTTTCTTCTTTAAATTATTACTTTTTTTTTTTGTGGTGGTCTTTTGCCGTTTCTGTAGTGGGTTGAGACATATTATGAACGGTGAGAGGCATTCTCGAAGTTTCCACAATGGGCATTAAGAAAAGAAAAGCATTAAAAGAATAATATTATTCAATTTTTGACTTTTTGTCAACCACGGGCAACGGCTAATAGAATAATTAAATCCCAAGCCTTTGTAATACAGAATTTTTCTTTTGTTGTAAACAACTTTGATGGATATGTCAAAATAGATTTTTAAGTTGATCTCGGGTAAAAATTGGAACCAACAGTTTTCAAGTGATCCGACTTGATTAGACAAACAGATAAAAAATGCAGACACAAATCTGACTTATCGCATTAACAGGTTGACCTGACTCAGCCGGTAACCCACGGGTAATAATTGGAACCAACAGTTTTCAAGTGATCCGACCTGATTAGACAAACAGATAAAAAATGCAGACACAAATCTGACTCATCGCATTAACAGGTTGACCTGACTCAGCCGGTAACCCACGGGTAATAATGATAATAATAACATTAGTAATAAGCAACTATTGGTCCCTCCATATCTATCTCCTTTTGGCTGTAAAGTCGGATTTAATGCTCATTCTCTGACGTTGACTTTTATCCTTCCCGTTACTGTTTCGTATCTTTCTCATTATTTATAAAGCAATGTATATTGCTATATACATTTAGACTTAAGCTTTTTTTTTTTTTTTGTTAAAACATACTCATAAGCCTATCCGTTAATATTTAAAAAAATGTACAAGATACTTAAAGAGACCTCCAATTTCCTATTGCTCAAAAGAGCTATAAAAAAATCTTATAAACCGGTGATTCATACTAAGCAAAATTATAATGAAAAATCAGAAACCTAAACTTTTGAATAAACATTCAGCACAAACTTATCTCCAGAAGAGGGAGTATTAGCATCCCAAAAAAAAGGTTCAGCAAACATTTGCATAAAAGAGCTGCACCAGAAAATGACGAAGCCATGATTTTTAAAAATTTGCACATGCTTAAATTTATGCATGATTTTTAAAAATTTTAAAAATTAAGCAGAATTTTTAAAACTTAAGCGGGATTTTTAAAACTTAGATAAAATTTTTTTTTAAAATATGAAATGTTTAACATTTAAATAGTATTTAGGTGGTTTTTATTATTTTTTTAATATTTAAATTTAATAAATAACATAAAGTTATTTTAAAAATATAAATATTTATTTGAGCCGGCTCAAGGTCGAACTCGAGCTCGACTCGCGAGCTCGATAAGCTCGGCTCCCGAGCTCATAAATAAGTCGAGCTCGAGCCGGCTCGGCTCACTTACACCCCTTGTTGAAAGTATAAAAACTAAAGGATAAACTAAATAAATTATACCGTTTTAACCATAACCCACACAACCAAGCATGCAATGAGACAAGTGGAAAATCCGTAGCAACTCCCCAAACTCCCGAAACAATGAAGAAATTGCAAGTCACTTAACAGATAGCCACCAAATCCAAAAATCACAAAAGCAAAACGAAAAAATCAACCGCACATTAACGGGATTTAATATAAGGTAAACTAATCTGATCCACGACCACCAAATCTTTAACAGTTTTAGGGATCTGATCCTCGTGAAATTCAATGGAATGAAGAGTAGTGAAACCCATTTTAGCTAGAGCTGAACTAAAGCTTTATATTTGGGCATTAGCCCGTATATCAGATGGCCCAAGTATTGGATGACATGGTGTTAGGCCTTACATTGGTGGCACCTTCCAATTTTAAAAAGTTACCCCGGGAGAGGCCCATTAAAAGAGTCCACTTACGGACGCTAGACCATTAGTCGCGGCATGGCATCTGATTGAGGGGACCCACAGTATGAATATAGCATAACTAGGGGTGTCAATTTTCACTGGTCGGATTCGGGTCGAACCGGAACTGACCCGAGTTCAAACCAGTCGACCCTAGCCCTATCCTGGTAGATAAACGGGTCGGAAATTCGAACCTGGACTCGACACGGCGGGTTGCCGGGTTGACCCGACCCGAAACGGGACCCGAAACGCGCGAAAGAGCGCGGGCGAGCGGCGAGCGCTTGTGCTGGTGTGCGCGCGGGCAGCCTCGGACGTGGGGCGCCTGCAGGCGCGTTAGCGTGCGCTGGCAAGCTTTGTCGGGCGGGCAGCAGAGCGAGGATGGTCTGGGCAGCTTCGCTGGCAGGCGGGGCAATGCGGGCAGTTCAAATTACCCGAACCCGACCCGTTTTTCAAACGGGTATAATCTGGGAACCCGAACCCGATCCGTTTTTAAATCGGGTCGGGTCCAACCCGAATTTTTCGAGTCAAGTTTTCATGTCGTGTCAAATATTGACACTCCTAAGCATAACTATACATACATTATTTATATTGAATAACTTCGCTTACAGATGAGTTCTTTAGAAGCATTTCATAAATTTATTTGTTAGACAACTATCATGTATAAAAAAATTTATATGAAAAAATTAAGAAATAAATAAATTTATATGATGGAAAAGAGCCTTTGAATATTAGGTCAGTTTGATTGTGAAAACCGTAAGAAATTTGAAATTCATTTTTTAATTAAAAAGTTAATAAGAGAAAAATAATTTTTCCCATAAAGATTTTGTAGTTGCTGTTATGGATAACTAGAACATCCAAATGGTCCTTATTTTTATTGAGATAAATTTGTTGAAAACCCATGCAAATTTATTGAAAATGAAATAAAAATTTTAGGCGAAAATTTGAGCCAAAAGAATTCATAAATCTCTTATTGGAGACGCATTTTAATGAAGAAATAACTGAAGGAAAATTTTTTCTAAGAATCTTCCCAATGAATTTGGTGGTAATAACGACCTAAAATTTTAAGTCGGAACAAAAATTACTGACTTAAAATATTTCTTGCTATTATGATTTTGTTGAAATTTGAAGAATCGCTTCTTTCTCACTTAAATAATATTTTAATTAACATTTCATTTGGGACGACTTCTTTACTACTTCTTAAAATAATTTTTTAATATAAAAATTAATTTCATACTAAAAAGTTGTTTTAAGAAGCAAAAAAAAAAAAAAAAAAAAAAACTGTCCGAGACAAAACCTAAAAATATTTTAATGAAATTGTAAAATATTACGATGTAAAACTTGTCATTTAGTTGGGATCCCAATATAAGAATTGAAATAAAGTCATATCTATGTTCTATAAATTTACTTCAAAATATATTTGCTCACTCATCTGTCACTTGAGGATCAAAGCCCTATAAGGGGTCCTAGCTAGTCGGGTACCCATGCTTTGTATGGGCAGGCTTTGCTTACATACACTCACCTATAGTGACTTTTGGAATGTCGTACCCATTTATACCTACCAACTTTTCATATTTTTTGAATGCAGTCCATCATGGGTTGATGGCTTTGAGGCTTGTTATCATTTGCTTTGACTGCAAACTTTCAAGCCACATATCAGAATTTATCGTGGCCGCAACGCAGTTCAGTGTTGTGCACTGCGTAGTGAGGATTGCCGTAATATACGACATACGATGATTAGCATATACGACATACGATAATTAGCAATATAAATTATCTTAGACCCTGTTGTTAAGTACCCACCCTTGAGGCAATGGGTGTAAATATACCCATTCAAATGAGTATGGGTGAGTACGCGGGATTATAGCATTTCTAATTCCTTTTAAATATTAATCCCAAAATTTACAAATTTCTCACATTTCACTGTTCCATCTACCAACTTATTACACACCACTTTTTCGACAAATTTGACATAAATCAACTGAAGCTGCTCTCCGAAAGCTTAAGGAACTCACAGAAATCTATCACTCCATCTCCATTGTCATCATGCGCTGCAATCATAGTCTTGCATGAATCCAACTCAACTCCTCCAAAGCCCAGCTTGAAGAGAACTCTCTGAAGCTCCTCTGCATCCACAAACCCATCTCTGTTTTCATCAAAGAAGCCGAAAGCCTCCACTGCCTCCTCCAAGCTCGGCTCTTCCTCCTCGAACATTGCAGAAATGTCATCTGATCGCAGAAGCTCGTTCCTTTTCTCAGCTTTATCAATAATTCCAAACCCCAATTTCTCCATGACAAGCTCCATATCTTCTCCTGTAACCATAATCGCTTGGTTCACATGAAGCTCTGCTCTTACCTCCTCTTTCCTCCTGCTGATCTTCTCTGCTGACTGAGTTCTCCATGACCAAGAAAAAACAGAGAGGTGGCTCGAAGCGAGCTTACGAAAACGAGTTAATAAGACGAGAGCAGGTTCAAGGACTAGGAAATCAATGAAGTCCGAGAAGAAGAGGTCGGTTTTGGGTACCTTCTCCATTAGTGTTTCTTTTCTTTTGGAAGAGGCTTAAGGTGAAGATAGGAGATTGTGGGTTTTATAACAGCAGAGGAAATAGAAAGGAAGGTGAGCTATTGTGATTGTGTTGGGAGACCCGCGTTCTGAGAATTAATTGGTGGGTTGACGAAGAAAGTAGACTGACTGGAAAGAAGAGTACCAGTGAAGAATTAGTGTTATTTACTAGGAAGCTTTTTAATAATTTCTTTCGGATTTAGTTGTAATAGTTCAAATGATTAAGTATCGAGGTATTATTAATTTTAATCTAATGGTCTCATAATTTTATCAAGTTGGTTTAACTTTGTTGCGTCCAGAAATATTCCTGGCTGTAGAGCAATATAAAGTTTAGCATCTCAATTTTGTATCTTACACCAAGATTTTTAGATGAAAAACTCCTGAAAAGAGAGAAAAATCACAGGGCCTAGCCTAATTTGAATGAATCTATCAGTATTGCAGTTGATTACAAATAAGGTCATTCCTTAGGGGAAAGCCTTAGCTTGATGTATATTTTATAGAGTACATTACATGATGAGAATACAAAGAATTACTTTTGATGTGTTTGTTTGGTCGGAAGGACTGTAATCTTTCGGATACAGTTGTAATAGTTCAAATGATTAAGTATCGATGTGTTATTAATTTTAATCTAATGGTCTCAGAATTTTATCATGTTGGTTAACTTTTTAGGTGGTCACCCATGTCAAACTTGTCCCAGTGCTAGTATGCTTAACTATTGAGTTTATTAATCAAATTCTAACTATTACATCAAAATTAGCCTATATATTTAAAAGTTTAACTTCTTTTTTATGTAAATAGTTACACAATCTCTCTTATTTAAGTAAATGATATCCTCGCAAATTTCATAATCATCCTTCAAGTAAATTGAATTCTATAGTTGGCCCTTATAAGTTCAAGCGGTGGCTTCTACCATGTAGCACTTTCTCCTATGTAGGATTCAAGAGGCGGCTCCAATAGAGTAGCACTTTATTTTGCATGACACTTAATTTTCATCTTCCAAATAGTGCATTGCTATGATACTATTTTGTAATAGTTTGAACTCTTAACTATCGAAATACAGTTAGTTTTGACCCCATTTATTTAACTTTCTTGGAGGTCACTCATCTCAGTACTACTCTCGCACGAATACACTTAGCCTTAAAATTTCTTGTATGATAAAATTCTAACCAAGAGCTTAGCTTCTTTTTTACTTAAGAAATTTGAGAAAATATTAGACAAAATTGAAAAGATGTTTATATATAATGATGAATAATTGAATTCGAATATTGCGTCACAGCGCCTAATTGATAGGGGTACTTTCCACGTAATTTTCATACAAATTTAACAATTTCTTCCCTCATAAATTAAACTTCCAATTTATATGTGCATTAAGATTCGCGTCTGTTCAAAATAAAATTTTGATGAAGTATTAAGTCTAATCCCATAAGTCGTAGAAGTCGAAGCCATCATGCTTAATTACAAGGAGATTAATTAGCTCTGTCAGATCTAATGTTCCTGAGTTGGATTCCTGATTTGTTTTCCCAAAAAAAAGAATTCCTGATTTGTTTAATGTATTCTGCAGCAACAGCAACAGGAATATCTGAGTTTTTACGGTCTTTGATATTTTCGCAGGAACGATATTTTAGCGTATTTTATACAGAGAAGAATTGTCATAAGAGTCGAAAACTCGATAAGTATTTCGCTATACAATGAATAAACTATACGACATAAAATTTGAATAAAAATGGTAATAAGAAACTATTTTGCAATTATTTTGGGATTATTTTATATTTATTTTAGAATATTAAATAAAATATGTTTGATATTTTAAATATAATTGTTTTTTTTAATGTATATTTAATAGATTGGTTTAAGATTTTCTTCTATTTGTTGATGGTCGGCATTGATGAACTCATGATGATGACAACCTGGGGTAATAGTGGTGGTGATAGTAAAATTGATAATTGTTTGAGGTAGAGGAAACGACCAATACATTTGTTGACCGACAGTTGAAATGGTGGTCGGCATGGCGGATGGTAGGGTGTTAGTATTTGACCCAATCCGAAGCCTGACTCGGAACCGACCTGGAAAATTCTGAGTTTGGGTCAACCCGTTTGCCAGATGGGTTGGGTTCGTGTTTCATTTTTCAAACCGGTTCGAATATCAGATCGGCTTGAAATGACCTGGAGGCATTTAGATCTGCCGTCTGAATCACGATCCTGCGTCCACTCTCGTGAGTTGGGCCCAACTGCAGGCCCCAGCGCTCTATTCCACGTTCAGACTCCGCCCTCTGCATGGACCGCACCGCACCGCACCTAGACTCCACCTTCCGCAACACACCCTTTGCACCGCAGTGCCAGATGCCAACGAGCTCTCTTTTGCGGACCCGTGCTCGTAGCTCACGTCTGGACTTCACCCTCCGCACGCAGTGCCAGCGAGCCCTCCCATGGACCCTTACTAACATCCAAACTCCGCATCGGCACACCCAAACTCGCACTCGCATACAGACCCGAACCCGACCCGAAAACCTATTTTGACACTCCTAACTAGGAGATGATGGTGATGACAATATATGCCAAGGATGACTATATGTTTAATAATATTCCAAACATCTTAATATTATTTTGATTATTTTGAAAAATAAAATAAAACTATTTAAAAATATATATTAAACAGTCATATTTTTAAAACTAACGAACATACCCCTAAAATGCTTAGAAAGTTAAAATATTAACTGCTACTTGACTGATAGCATGGACGAATTTCGCTTGACTCAACGTGGACTTTGACAAAGCTGAGACAACCAATACAGCGTGCCTATAGTCCTAAATAAAAATCATAATTATTATTAGTGTGAGATAAATGCTCTAAATAAGAAAATAGTTTATTAGAAAAAAAAATTGTTATAAGATAAAAAATAAAATTGATTGTTATTTTTAGAAGAACAAAGAAAAAAGTTTTATGTTTTATTATTTTGTTGATTTAATTTTTTTAAAAAAATTATAAATTTAAGCTATATATTTTAAGATTTCTGTCTCACAGCTTTAAAAGAAAATCCTCAAACTTTTTTTTGTCTAAAGTCGGTCACATAGCAGGCGGACCACGTCAGGACCGCTAAATCGGAAGTTTCTCGTCTCTTTTATTCCATGGAAGGGCGAAGCAAAGGTGATTTGTATGCAATTCCACGCGAATGACGGACGCGGCATGTTCATATTTCAGTACTCATAAAAAAAAAAAAAAGTTCGCTTTAGTGTTCGCTCCAACGATGATTTAAAATAAAAAAATAAATTATTTTTGTACTAATAATTCTTAAATATGGGTGTCAATTTATGACATTATCCAAAAATCTGATCCTAACCCAGAGTCAGAAGTTTCGGTTTTGGGTTGACTTGCTTAACAAACAGGTCCAGTATGAATTTCAATCCCCAACCAACTTAAAAAATTGGGTCGTGTCTGTTCAATCCACTAACCCAAAATTGACCCAAAAACAACCCCCCACCCCCCCACCTACCTCATGCTAAAAGGCATCAACTCACATCTTGTCCTACCCAGTAGCACTACCGGCCGCACGCGTCCTACTCTAGCCTACAATGAGTGACAGTGTCCTACCTAGTCGTGCTCTCACCCGTGCTCGACTATGCTCGATGTCGCCTGCTCTGCACTCGTTCTGGTTTGTAGATGGGTCAGGTAGACTGAAATTAGGGTCGGATATAGGTTTAAATTTTTGACCCGTTTGTGTAAATGAGTCAATTTCTATTTTGACCCGAAATCGACATGAAAATTTATTTTGACACCCCGATTCATAAACTAAAGGACTTCATAAAAAAAGATGGACATTAAACTAAATTAAGAATATATTTGAGATGTGAAACAAGGTATTATTTAGATTCTTCAAAATTACGAATTTTATTTGCCAAATTAATGACCCAAATTTGACGGGATAATAAATAAAAAAAAAAAAACCGATTTAATTTGATCCTACTTAACACAACTCTTTCTATAAATTTAAATTTAAAATATGATTTTTTTTTTATTTCACTTTTCTATGATTTGTAGTACTATAAAGCCTAATTTCATCTAGTTCATTAATTGAAAAAGCAACACGCCCTTTATTTATTTAATGGATCCATCTCTATATAGTAATGATATTTGAAAATGAGTCCAAAGAGGCCAATGATGCACATAGCACTATTAAATTCTATGAGCTATTGATTTTCGCCAATTTAAGATTCATCAATTAATCATATTAAGATATGATAAGTGGAAAAATAGTAATATAATTTTGCTCAGAATTCTCTAATTTTCAACCTAGTTGAGCACTCTCCCCAGCTCCAAAATATTTTACTAAATTTCTCTAACATGTTATTGATCCTAGTCGCTTAATCTAGTCATTTTAGAATTGCCCCATCACGAATTCCATGTTATATTGTAATGATTCGATCGTGCTCCGAGATTGTTGGTGTAGTTGGCTTGCTCCTACCTCTCCATGACACTCTCATGATTAAATTATTATTTAGCCATTAAACCATTCATTAACTATCACAAATATATGATGCATCCAAATTCTATAAATAAGTATCAGGTCAAGTCAGGTCGACTAGAATTTGAGGCAAGTTGGATGAGAAAAAATGATATTCTAGTACTATCATGTTTTAAATTCAATTAATTGCAATCAGATGCACATCTAAATTGTATAACAAAGTATTGATTAGTGTGCTTCTACCTTCCTTCTTAGCATTTCTTAGAGATATTCAATGAATATAAGAGGATGTGCTTTCTTAAAAGTTTTTCAAGCCCTAATCCATTGTTAAATATTGGAGGCTTCCACAATATAACCTCATGACATATTATTTCATGTCATCTTAGAATTCTATCTTATTTGTGATTATTAGATACTCTCAACAACTTGAAATTTTGTTGGAGGGTTTTGGATATTCCATATGTTCTTAAAAATTAATCATGCTTGCTCTTTCTTTGTAGGTAAATTTATT